CTTGAGCACGGCTTCACATAGAGCCTACGTCCAGGAGACTTATCTCTTGAGTTTCCCATGTATATTAATAGCTCGTTTAATGTCACCGGGATCAAAGGAAGACCTGAAGTTCTCATCCATTTGCAGATACCTACTGTAGTTGACAAACGCTGATGGGGCGACCAGCCGATGGGGGGTCCTGGCCAGGATGATTCATAGTTGCTCACTTGCTCTCATCTTGTACACCCAACCCAAATTTCCCCAATAGCCCCTCGTCAAGTCGATTTGACAGATGCTGACACATGGATGGTGCCGGATGATTCATTCTGACTAAATTTATATGTATGGGAAATAGTGACAGAGCGTTCCAGCCAAGTTGTAGACGCCCTTGAACAGTCGTTCATCCACAAATACATTTTGCAATATATTCTCAATCGATTGCTAGAGGAACGCTTGAGTCCTGTATCCTCTATATATCTGTAACGCCGACTACTGCCTTCTACATTCGTAATATGGCACCCGTAGTCAAGTAAGGAACCCCGATCAAGATCGATATTTCCACTGCTGGATGGCAAAGGACCACAACAGCACCTGCAACACCTGCGACACCGGCATCAACCCCATCGAGGCAAGTTTTCAAATTTTGTACTCCCTACTTTCAACTTTCTACTTTCATGAGTGAAAAACTGTTTTGCCGAACGGACTGCCTCGCCGTGTGCGTGGCTATGAAGACCCGATTGAATCGACATCGCCTGAGTTTTGTAGACTTTCTTCGATATTTTGGTCCCAGCTTTACTTGACAGCTCGCTAAAATTAAATGCCATTGTTGGTGATCAGGTGGAAATTATTTCTTTGTACCGATATATATACATGGTAAAGTATAACGAACTCAATCAAGAAGAGCCATCTCTCTTCTTGACGAGGTCTGTCTCAAAATCGAGTCCGGCCTCCGTTCTCAACACCCCATACAATGAAGAAGAATCGAATGCCCGCCCTTGAGTATCTGAAATCTTCTTCGCTTCCTTCAGATGCCCAGCAGCAATATCAGCGATATGAAGACGTACACCGGCCTCCTCCGCACAGCTCAGACCATGCCCGACATCCTTCATCGCCAGGGACAAGTCAGACCACGGCCTCTCATCACGAGGCGGTAAGTAAGCACCAGTCGTCAGGCGTTTTGACATGCCCTGAGCCAAGGGTCCAAACTGCTGTCCGAGAAGATCCTCCATTGCATCGCTACCGAGTCCGGACTTCTCCGCAAAGACCTGGGCCTCTGCGACCAGCTCCATCATTCCCGCGGTCACGAAGTTTCTGCGGCAGGTTAGCACGATTGCATCATATCTGATGGCATTGTTCGACGTCTTCTACTCACCCAGCCGTCTTCATGATGCTGGCTTTCTGCACGTCTTCCCCTAGACAGATGATGCCTCTGCCCATGACGCCGACGATGAACGGCTTGATCTTCTCCACGGCATCATCGGGTCCAGCGATGATCCAGAGCAGCTTACCCTGCGCAGCGACTGGGCTTGCCCCAAACACCGGCGCAGCAATGAATTGGGCTCCCCTTGCTGCCAATCTGTCTTTTGCCTTTGCAGACGACAGGGGGTGGACCGTTGAGGTGTCGACAATAATCTTACCTGATAGATCAGCTGTGGCTGTGTCGTTTAGGATTGCGTTCAACGTCGCCTCGAGTGCTTTGTCGTCGCTGAGTGAGATGAACACAATGTCCGTGTTTTGGACAAGGTCAATGATGTTCGGTTGCGGCGCGCCTCCGGCTTTCTCTAAGGGAGCGCCTCGAGACATTGTCCGATTGTGAAATTGGAGGCTTCCGGCAAAGTGCGTTTTGAGATGATTTTGCAAATTTGTAGCCATGCCGAGACCCATTGACCCGAGACCTTGTCGACTCGTCAGCATGCGCACGAAGTTTAGAGACAGGAACAAGTAGGTGCACCCACCTATCCATCCCAGCCGGGGGTGTAACGCTGAAGATACGATTGAAGCTGCGCTCATTTTGTTGGTCGGCCAGATAATTTAGGGGTGACTGAAGTTCGACTGTCAACACGATGTGATTCTGACAATTGAGTACTTGATGGATAGCCAATGGGTCGCAGTGATGGTTTCCAATTATACGGCACATAAGTTCTCTAGAATTACTTGCCAAGAGTGAGTCAATCGTTGAGGTAAGCCGGACATCTGCAGATGGGCGATCCCCGCACCTCGTCCCTCGGCGTTCTCTCCCGAAGCCCTACTCCGCTTTCGGCGTTACAGTAAGCCAAAAGAGCACTATTACATGTTAAGGTTAAGTACAAGCCTTTAGTCATTTGATGCGGACTCAACCTGGAAAATGAAGTCATTGGGTTAAGAAGAGCTTCTCAGACGGTTTTAAAAATTCCAAGTCTTCAGGAGTTTATACGAGGCATCAATGACTTTGAGTTCACCCAGGAAGAGGTTGGTTCACCATGCTTAAGTCCAACAACACTGCAATCTCATGCAGGCATGTGAAAACCTTGAGGCGCAACAGATGTTCTTCGTCGATGAATGGGAGGCAGCAACATGTATCATCGACAGGCCTACATGTGGTGAGCCCTCACCCATAATCAGGGTACTCCTCCACAGACACTGGATCCATTTCTTTCCCAAAGGGATATTAACGTGATTGTTGAAGTCTTTCTCGGGATTAAAATGGAAGGCAGAGGCTTGTAATCATAAGTCAGTAGGTAATTGTTAAGGCCCTAACCTCGAGCCTGAAGTGCACTCGCCGATGGATGCCAGAGCAACGAAATAACTCGCCGAGATCCATACATTTCTGAAAGCACAAGCGTACCCATCGAGAGGAAGAGGAAACCTCATGAGCGGCACCTTGAACAGGGGTGGTTGCGCCCTGATTGTGAGAATTGAGAGCTATGGAAAGAGATACCAAATAATCAGCTTCAAAACATGCCAGTGAGACTGCTTGGGCAATGTTTGCGGACATGTGGCTCATGCCCTCGTTGAAGAGAACAACGTAGGTGGAGATTCCAATAGTCCCACCAAGCGATTACGTGCTGATTATGAGACCGCTGTCGACTGAGATTAGTTCAAGCGGATTGCTAAGTTGAGCTCCTGTGACGAGAGTCGTCAGAAGCCTAGAGCGATGCCAAATAATATTGAGTACCCCTAGACTGGATTGCTACTGCCACGGTTCGTGGTCGCGATGCATACGAGGAAAACCACGGACATCAGGAATGCTACAATGGTGATCTAACACACTCACTTCGCGGTCATGCAATACCACGCGTCAGCAATCTTCTTGTTTTTCTTTTCACGATCACATTTATGCGGCTCTTTTTCGGAAGAGAGACCCCCAAGTAGTTTGGTAACACCCTCAGTGGTCCTAGGCAACATAGGTTGCTACAGATCACTAAACATTAGAAGAGTAGTAAGTTGGTCTTAGAGCCTTGTTGTTTGATACTTGTTTTCCACGCCTTTTCACCTGTCAATCTCTAATCATCAGACTGCACAGACTTCATGAAGTTCTCACCCAACTCGCGTTTGCAAGGATCGGCCCGCCATCCCTTGGCTGCCCGGAAGTCCCCGGCCGAGACGGCAAGGGTGCACGGCCACAACGTTATAAGGCGGATCTTAATCCATGATGTGTCTCGGGCTCGGCCTCTGGATGAATGGGAGCCGAGGGGATGGCCTACGTAATACTCCCTAACCACTCAGTACATATGAATTGTGCTACCACAAGAAAATTCACTTTGTGCTTGCAGGTGGCTGAACTAGTGGGCGGGCCGCCACCCGGCACGCAACATTCCTTCCAACGCTTTTCAGATGCTGCACTCCATTTCGTGTTTCCTGTAATCTCGGCCACACTATCTTATCAAGTATCTGGTTGCTATTTGAGTTTCCTAGTCCTGTCAATCAACCAAGGAACCTCAAATTGGACACGTCTTGGCGCTGGCGAGAATGCCGCTGTCAGATAATACCCGAACTGCCTATTGCTTTGCCGAAAAGATCAAACTGAAAACCGCTCACTCATTGGATATGAAACCGCCTCCCACATGGCCCTCTCAGTGAATCAAATTTTCTCCGACATGGGTTCGGCACAACGGTAATCGACAAGGGCACCTGCAGGTGGACTCCATTCGCGATAGTCTGGTCCAATAGCGGACCAAGGGACGAACTCCGACGCGTTGCCACGGTGGGACTCATTTGACGGGCCCTGTCCTTCTCCGCGACGTTGGAGCTCGCCTGTGGTAGCGCTCCGTTTGGCTCTGTTTGTCTAGAAATTCGGAGAAGCAAGAATGAGTTGCCACAGCTTGTGAGTTCCTCAATACCATAGAATTGCGGATAGAAAGTTCGGTCTCGTTTTGGGTCACTGTGCCTAACTGTGTCGGGATGTCGCCCCTTCGGCACAAATACATACTTACTTAGGGAAGGGAGTAGGACTTGGAATACTCCGGTACTAGTAGGCATGTAAAGTTTAACCTAGAACGTCCACGAAATTGGAGTTGCGTTCAGGCATGTCCTCACCTATTGTCCACCTTCTCCAAATTGCCAAGTGCGTTTCGAAAACCCCAAATGAACAAGATTACATATCAAGATATGTGAATCGAGACAACTATTGTTTTCTCAACCGTCTCGCTCCTTCTTGCACGGACCCCGGCAGTATCCTCAGGTTGATGGCGAAGACTCCTCTCTTTCGGTCACCGTCCAATAGCTTCGCGTAGTACCGCCGTTGAGTCCCGATCACAGGGTTATGTCTCCATCAAAGAGCGGGTTGCGCCGCAGATCGCGGTCGTCTTGGCGGAGTGAGGGCGGTCGTAACCCTACATGGTCCCTGTCAGATACAGGCGAATGCAACGGCTTCCTGGCCCCGTGTTGGTTCTCCTACTGAGGCCGAAGCCGACGGATTTCTTTCTTGGCTTCTTCCTCCGTCAACGTGACATCTTTCAGACGATATCAACGATTCGACAGTGAGAAGTGATACTGAACACGAAAAACGTGCCTTTCCTGTTCGTCTAAAAGCGACTAGTACCATGCTGGACGTAGTCATTGTCGGAGCAGGCGTCGCGGGCCTCTCGGCCGGCATCTCGCTGCGCCGTGCGGGCCACGTTGTGCGCATCTACGAGCGATCTGACATGGACAACGAGGTCGGCGCCGCCATCAACGTCCCTCCCAATGCGACGCGGTTTCTCACACGATGGGGTCTCGACCCCAAGGCTTCTGGCTTCGTCAAGGCTGGGCCTGTTCATTTCCAGGATCCCGTCACGATGGAGATCACGTCGACGCTATCACACGCCGACAACGAGGAGTTCTACGACGCCGATCTCTGGTACGCCCACCGCGTGGATCTGCACGATAGCCTCAAGAGGATAGCGACCGATCCTGCCGGCCCGGGCGTTCCCGTCACCATCCATCCCAACTCGTGGGTTGTGGGATACGTGAGTGCGGGGAAGATCCCTGCCAACATTTCCACCGCGATGGTTGCTCTTTTTGCTGACTGTTTTACAGAATCCTGAGTTGCCAGCTGTGCATCTCCAAGATGGTGACGAGATTGAGTGTGACCTGGTTGTTGGTGCAGATGGAATTCACTCTATTGCGGCTGAGACTGTCCTCGGCCGCAAGAATCCTGCCGTTGCGCCTCTTCTCCATAATTGCTGCTACCGTTTCTTGATTCCTGCCGAAGTTCTTGAGGAAGATTCCGAGACCAAGTTTTGGAATGAGGACGCTGATGGACTCATCCGTCTTTTCCCCGACAACAAGACCAATAGGAGGCTAGTGTCATATCCATGCCGCAAGTAGGTGCATTGTGCCCTCGAGAGATAGACTCTATCTGACCTATTAGCAACACCATCCACAACTTCGTGGGTATATTTTACGATGAAGACATGAAGGACGTTTCCAGTGAAGGTTTGTGCAAATACCACTCAAGGAACCGTCTGGGAGTTGATGAGGCTTACTCATACCGTGACGTTAGATTATCAAGCCGATGTCGACAAAGCGCAAGTAATTGAAAAGTTCGCTGGGTTTCATCCAAGCCTACTGGCTATTATCAAGTAGGTCGCGTCGAAGATAGGCGCCGATTACCCATGGTTAACGTCACAATCAGCAAAGCAACTGAGATCAAGCGATGGCCACTGTTGTACCGTGCTCCGCTACCGACCTGGCGGAAAGGGAAGATGGTCATAATCGGCGATGCGGCGCATCCAATGCTACCTCGTGAGTGCTACACCGTATGGACGGTTTTATCCTCGTTGATTTAGTCGCTGATATATCGTCTGTGCGTAGATCAAGGGCAAGGCGGTGCCATGGGTCTTGAAGATGGTTTGGCTCTGGGTGTCGTGTTTGCAGGTGTGTCTGATAACTCTGATCTCGAGAAGAGGTTGGACCTATTTGAGAAGATCCGTCGAAACCGTGCCAGTGCCATTCAAATTCTCAGCAACGTCGGAACCGACCAGTCCAGTCTCGTCGAGAAGGACCTCTTGGAATTTGTCGCAGCAGATGAGATCCCGAGTATGTTACTGCTGTTGCCCGTGAAGATGAGATAGAGACTTTGTCACTAATATCTCGCAGAAAATCCGCAAGAAAATCTGGCTTTCAACTTTGGGTATGACGTTGTCAATGAGGCTATCAAGATCATGGAAGAATATGATCCGTCATCTCATCTTCCTCACGACTTCTTTGAGGATGATTCGTTCGACATGACTCATGTTAACGGAGAGTTGTCGAAAATGAGTGGACTTGGTTTCATCAAGGTCGAAACATGCATCAACATCGACACTGAGTGAATCAGCGTCTACTAAGATTGATCACGAGAAAGAGCCTGATTGGCCTTCATTATGGTCAACAAGCTGGGTTTCTCAGCATACCACAAGGCGTGAGGGGACAAAAAGTCAGGAAATTACTACAACAGAATGACACAGAGTAACAGAAGACGAGCTTGCAAGCCGTCATTATTGTGCAACAGACCAGAATACTACAGTGCCAGTGTATGAAATTAGTTGCGAGACGGGAGAGCATAAGAAGACAAGTCACTATTCTTGAAAATCCCTCAGGCTGAGCTTTGACATCCCAATATTGACGAAGGGATAGCTAACACACTTGAGCGGAGGAAACTATCTGCGAACCATTTCTCGGTCTTAACTCCAAACATCCTCAAACCATCTTTTTGACTTCTTCCTATCCTGTCTCCAGCTTTCGACCTCAGAGTCTTTCCAGCTATTCGTCTGTTTCACGACGCCATGGACCGCCATGCCAACAGCTTTCGCCATGTTCGCGGCACCGCAGATGTAGAAAGCGGCATCGTCTTCCAACAGCATTCTCCTAACTTCATCACCTCTGGCTTCCACTTTGTTCTGAACATAGCACTTCTCATTGCTTGCCCTTGAAAATGCTGTCACCACCTCCAACTTCTTGGCGAGGGGTCCAGCTATCCACTCCGCAAACTCGTCACGGTAGAGATAGTCGCTCTCGTCCTGACATCCGAAGAACAGCATCATTCGGCCGACATCTTTGCCTACAGAAGCAAGTCTAGCTCGCTCATGGATAAATGCGCGGAAGGGGGCAACTCCAGTACCGGCTGCCACCATGATCAGAGGCACTGATGAAAGGAACGGTAGCTTGAATGTTGAGCCACGAATCTGAGCATGAACACGGCATGAGTCCATTAAAGCTATTTCTGACGGAGAATGGCTCCCAGGTTGAAGTCCAGATAAATATGTGCTCGTGAGTCCAGGGACTGTGATATCTTGATTTCCGAGTAGTTGCGACGGCTTAACTGACACAGTCAGACCCACACTTCGGGGTGATGTGATGCGTGAAGTGGAGATAGAATAGAGACGTGGCTGCATGGCAGGTAGGAAGTCGATGATGAATGAGAGTGGTAAACCAGCCCATGTGACTGCCGGGTCGACGGCAATAGTGTTCTCGAGAAGTCGGGCCAAGGTCAAATGGTTTGCTTCGAGGAAGTTGGAGTAAACCGCCCTGTCATTGCCGATTGTCATCAGCTCCGACTTAACCTTTTGACTTGGTGCGAATTGAGCCAATGATAGAACTGTCTCGCGAGGAACTGCGGAACATATCTCCAGATAGTGCCGGAATAAAGCCTGCACTGTTGTCGGACTGGGGACTTTTGGCTCCTTGTCTGCCGACTGGAGTACAACGCAGATGGCTTTTAGTTGCTGAGATTGGAGTCCGAGAATGCGAATAAGAAGGCTGATTTCCTCATCTGGATTCACGGGCCAGATAGCGATGTGATCTCCAGTCTTGTATTTGATTTCGGGTTGAGCAGTGAGATCCACTTCAAGATCAATGCAACTACGGCCTTTCTCGTCGTATTTCGCGAAGTCTCGCTTAGCCTTGACGGGAAGGAAAGCAATAGGAGAGTGGAGTGTGGTTGCTTTTCTCGAATGCGGTTTGTAGAACGGTTCGCCTTTATGCAAGTCATTGCTGTCGCTCGAAACAATACCTACACTGGGCTCGTATGCTACTTCATACTCCTGGTAGTCGAAATTGGAAACCAGAGTCTTGAAAAGGCTCTCTTTCCAGTCCATGAAGTCTTCCTCTGTCGTCCGGGTAGCTTCATCGCCCTTGCCAGTGGGTAGAACCGCGGTGGCGTTGAACTTAGACAAGGCGACGACGACATCATCTATGACTTTGTTGTAGAAGCGATAGTTGCTGTTGCCGCAACCGAATGCGGCGTATTTGAGGTGGGCGAGGGAGACACCAGTGGCTGCGTCAGCCCAACTAACAAAGTCTTGAGCATTGTCGCTTGGGTCGCCCTCACCGTAGGTCGACATGATAAACACAGCAAGCTTCGACCCCGGAATAAGAGAGATAGTCTCTGGGTCATAGTCGGACAGGTCTGCTACTAGAGCGTTGAGCTTGAATCTTTGGTGGAAATCTCGAGCAAGGCGGTGAGCAAAGGCTTCTGCGGTGCCGGACTGGGAGCCCCAAAAGATAACAATATCAGATTGGAGCTCTTCGATCTTTTCCGAGATGTTGCGTGTCTTCTTCTCAGTAAGGAGATTCTGAGTTCGTTGCAGTTGTGGTTTCTCAAACCACTTATAGCGATATGGGTCTCTCCTCGGCAGAAGGCTCCCTTTGTTGAAGACATATATGGAGCCCAAGACAACCAAAGGTAAGAGAAAGATATCGTCAAAGCTACTTTCCTTGGAGACGAGGTTGATAGCATTAGCAAAAAGGCAATTCTGGGTGTTGTTTATGCCAAAGTAGGCCTCCATACTGGGCAATGAAATTGGAGGAGTCGGGTTGAAAAGAAGGAGGAAATGTCCGGTGTTGTGGAATAGCGCCCAAGAACAGAGTCTCTTTTTGCATTTTCTATGACGAGGATTTTCAACAAATAGTAGCCCACTGTCGAAAACCGAGTATGAGCATGTGTTCCCGAATCCCGAAGACTGACGCCAAGATGACCATCGCAAGAAATTCAGCTCGATGGGCTTCAGACATGTACTGCCTGACACAATTGGATAATTTCGCCGACTCTCTGGTTTACATACGTACCCCTTGTCATCCTTGAGCCTCCGACGCCCATTCAGCCCTGGAGATATTGAGATGATGTTCGCTCCCCCACGGGGTGAAAGTGCAACCCCGCATGCGGGGAGGCCAGCCGCGAGGTGATACATCGACTAGGCCCTGCCAGCATTCACATATGATCGTCGTGCAATTAGATTAGGAAATGTTTCGCCGAAAAATATCTCGAGATGGTTCCAAAATCCGCAACACCGAGTTTTCGGCGATATCTTTCTCCTTCGAGAAATCGCTCAACCCCTCATTTCAGAATATCTCTAACATTCGCGCGTCCCTTGCCTCGTATTCTGAGATGTATCATTGCGGACTGAGTCGCCGTTTGTATCGTTCACTGTAGTTCCTTGCTTTTGCAGTTAATCCAGCGCTATGTGTATCCCGCGGAACTAAAGACTCGATTTGGATGCCTTGTGACAGACGCGTGCCTGTGTAGCAACTGCAGATGATTTGGACCGATTCCTGACCTCAGTCATCGAAAGTGAGATATAAGACGCTTCCTTGACATCCCACGGGGATTAGTCGTGGTGGCCAGAAAATCACCAGACATCTCATCAGCGACTTCACAGTAACAGCCTCTACATACACACTTCATGTTGGTCTGATTTTCACTATGCTCGGTCTTCTTGCGCTGGCAGGTGTTGCCTTTGCAGTCATTTCCTATCTCGTCATTCGACCTATCATCTTGTATTTTTACGACCCCAAGGGACTTCGCAAATACCCCAACTACTCGCCCCTGTCACCGTTGACGGACCTCAGGCACTGCTATCTCAGCGCCCAGGGGTTCAGATCTAAGGAACTGTACGAATCACACAAGAACACCGGCTTTCCTATCTTGAGGACAGGCCCCAACGCGCTGTCTTTTGGAGATACTAGAGCTATCAAAGACATCTACGGACACAGCACCAAGTGCGTCAAAGATAACAATTATGTTGTCTTAAGTGGGACGCATCGCCACCTTTTTGATGTAGTGGATAAGCCCGAACATGCCCGCAAACGCAAGCTACTTTCTGCAGCCTTTGCTATCAAGAACCTTGAGAAATGGGAGTACAAGGTCGCTTACACGGCTGAAAGACTCTTCAAAGCCTTTGACGGAAAATGCACCGACCCTCTCAAAGGCACCATCCCCTGTCCTGCGGACCTGACTATTGACTTCAACCACTGGATCAACCTCTGGACAATCGAAGCGATCAACTACATCACTCTCTCGACCCAAATGGACCTCTTAGATACCGGAACAGATGTTGTAACAGCCGAGAAGCGCGATGGCACAACTTACAAAGCCCGATATCGTCACTCTATGAACCAAGGAGCCATCGCACAGGCGGTTTTTGTGTGGGACTACGATCTCTGGCCATGGGTAGAGTGGCTGTCAAAGACGATCCCCAGCCGATGGCAGAAGATGTGGAAGGACTTTGAGCCATGGGACGATTGTTATTACCATGCCGCTGCCGAAAGGTTGCGCAGATATCAGAGCGGGGAGCAGCTCGACGACTTCTTTACTTGTATGATGGAAGACAAGACTGGAAGCCCAAACAACCTCGATTGGGGTGAAATCGTGGCGGAAGTCGGCGCCATCATCAACGCTGGATCGGATACCACAGCTATCGCCTTGACGCACATCCTCGAGATTTTGATCAAGCACCCGGACAATATGAAGAAGCTTCGCGAAGAGGTTGACAGCGTGTTGGACTCTGATGAAGTCATTGCTTCTTATGACAAAGTCAAAGATCTTCCATTCCTACGGGCTTGCATCGACGAAGCTCTTCGTATCATCCCGCCAACCTCTGCACCTCTTCCCCGCCGCACACCACCAGAGGGTGCTCGTATTCTGGACGAATGGATTCCTGGCGACATAAGTGTATCGATGACAATATACGGCGCTCATAGGGACCCCAAGATATTCCCAGATCCCGAGGTGTTCAAGCCCGAGAGATGGCTTGACCCCGAAGAGAGGAAGCGAATGGAGCCCTATTTCATCCCATTCTCAACTGGAGCCAGGGGTTGTATTGGAAGGAATATTTCGTACCTAGAACAGATCATGGTTTTGGCCTCGCTTGTTCACAGATATGAGTTCGCTCTACCCTCACCTGACTTTGTGCTGCAGAGACATGAGGCTTTCAACATCATCTGTGGAGCTTTACCGGTTAAGATCTGGCGGAGAAAGTTGGAATAGTGATAGCTTGTTTTGGGTAAGATGTAGCAGCTGTATCAATAGGACGCTCTCTACCTTACATAGGAAACG